TACGGTGTGGGTGAAAAACACGCACGCACGCACGCACGGGCGGGTGTAAGGGGGTGGCCTTCGGCCACCCCCCCCGCACCCACACCGTCGACAGAGGTCTACCCCGACAGTATAATCGTAGAAGTCGTGTGCCCCTGTGCAGGGGGGGGGGGGGTGAAAGTTACTTCGCGTGGAAAGTTTAATGCTTCTGAATACGGAAAGGTGTAGAATAGTACTTAACATCATACATATATTGCAGAATTAATTCAGAATTATTCATAATTATATATTTTATTACTATTGAATAAAATTATTCATTAATCGCGATATGGTGAGTAAAATCGAGCCATTATATCAAAAAATACATCAATACTTCGTTTGGAAGTCACGCTGTATAATAGAAATAAAATGTAATTTTTCAAACTTTTTTTGATCATAATTTTTTAACGAAGAGCGAGCGACGGCTGAAACTTGTTGGAGGTTACTCAGGGTCATGACTTTGACAACATATGTCAAGGTCAAGGTCATTGGAGGTGGCTCCCCTAAAGTGAACAATTACCAATATTTCGTTTTTGTGTGTTTAAAAATTAGCTTGAAGTCAAGCAAATTTAGTTTTTTTAAAAACAATAATTTCATAAAATGAGCATAATACCACACACAGACACACACAGATTCTTATTTGTGATAAATTATTATAAAGTAAATAATTTATTCATATCAGTATCTCATAAAACCTATATAAATGTTTTGGTCATTAATTCTGACGACTCCATTGTGAAGAGCGATCCTCAAAATCTTAAGATACCAAGTTTCGTTATAAAATATTTCGGTTTTGTGTGTTAAAAATTAGCTTGAAATCAAACAAATTTAGTTTTTTTAAAAACAAAAATTTCATAAAATGAGCATAATATCACACACAGGTTCTTATTTGTGATAAATTGTTATAAAGTAAATAATTCATTCATATCAATATCATAAAATCTATATAAACGTTTCGGTCATTAATATAACCATCTTTTGTATAAAATTACAAATAATTGAAGAATTAAAGGACTCTTTTTATAAACAATAATTAATACGTTGAAAATGGCGAATAAGAGTCAATCTAAATCTGATAATATATTCTAATATTCTATATTGCGAAGAATATCACGTAATGTTTGGCGTTTCGTCCCGGCTTCCACTACTGGACTCATCAGTAAGGTATTGTAGTGGAAGCCTACCTTAGACGCCGGTGTAAGTTATTAAATCGAGATTCTATATAAAGAGATATACGCGTGTCTCAGCACTTGCGAGAATTTGCGAATATCGATAGACCTCTGACGGCGGGTCGACGTAGTAATATTCTTCGCAATATTTATCCAAAGTGAGAAATAACGTTCTATTAATATATGTAGTCCCCCCAAATTGCGCGCCGAACAATTGTCGGTCTTGCAACGCAAATCTAATAATCTGATTTCTAAATGTTCCCTCTTCTTAATTGTTGCGCCCCGAAAGATTTTCGGTCTTGCATCTCTTTATATAGAATCTCGATTTAATAACTTACACCGGCGTCTAAGGTAGGCTTCCACTACAATACCTTACTGATGAGTCCAGTAGTGGAAGCCGGGACGAAACGCCAAACATTACGTGATATTCTTCGCAATATAGAATATTAGAATATATTATCAGATTTAGATTGACTCTTATTCGCCATTTTCAACGTATTAATTATAAAATTACAATTATATAAAAAAACCTAACACATAACAAATTTGTCAATTATTCGCTTACTACATTAACAATGCATTTTTATTCTTCTTGATTCTTTCTTCATAGTTACAGTTTGCTACCAATGTATGTTAGCTTCTGTCATCGTGATCAAAATTTGTCAGTAATATACATTTTTGATGAAATATAGTTACCAGATTGTATAATTAAAAATTAATCTTATAATAACAAATTAAAGCAAGTAGTACAGATCTTTATAAATGAATACAATTTAGTTTACCTATATTTCGTGCAAAATAGTAGTCAAATTCTAATGCACAGATAAAAAGTGGAGCGTCAGTTGAAAATTGAGCACTTAGACAATAAAGTCCGCCATGTAATGAACCTTAATACGTAACCTTATGTGTATCATAGACATAAGAAACCATAGACCGAGCGTAAGCTGCTACTATAGACAAGGGGGGATGTGATAACCGACAGGGGAAATATCGGACGAAGTCGGGTAAACTTCGATTAAATTCGGAAACATTCGGCATGTGTCATTATTTGAATTATCGCATGTGTCAGTATTTGAAAGTACAAAGGTTAGAAGCGTCTGTCAGAGATAAAATAAAACATAAAATATAAAAAATATAAAATAAAAAAAAATTTTAAAAATGAGTTTTTGTATTGTATCCGGTTGTAGAAACCGAAAATGTAAAAAGAACGATGAACAAAAAGAGAAAGAAAACGCGATGAGACATTCGTTTTCATTTCACTTGTAAGTATCTATAATCGTTTATTTAAGTATTTAATAGATGTGAAACTTATTACGAATTTAACACCTGAATTATTCATTTATATTTCCAAAGACCATTGAAAAGCGACAAAAGTGGCTGGAAGCGTTACATTTGAATAATTATAATATACTGAAATGGGGTGCAGTGTGTTCTGCCCATTTCAGAGAAATAGATTATGATGCGAATAATATACGTCGAACGCTCAAAGCAAATGCTATTCCATTTGTAAATAATGAAAATTCCATTCTTACGAATAATTTTTGTGTTCTATAATAATAAGATTTTTATATTCAATGAAATGACTTTCTAGTTTTTTATGTTTTAGTTAACTGAAGAATATTCTAGCAAAATCATAACAGAGAGAAGACTTACAATTAGTGAGATAAATGTACAAAATAATGAAGTTGGTTAGTATTTTAATTCGTAAAATTCACATTATAATGAATAATGATAATAATAATATAAATAATACTAATAATAATTTAAAAAAAAAATAATA